CACTCCCTGATAAAGAGTACTTCTCTACCTATACATTATAAAAATCTTCTCCTGTAGAAATTCTGAATGACGAGGTGCCTTTTTTTAGATTAATAATACTCAGAAAACAGCAGTGGAGTTAACTATGAAGAAGTGAATATTAAACTAAATTAGGTATTATCCCTTGTCTTAGTAGGATCAATTTAGAGATTAAAAGTGTGTTATGAAATACTTACCAGGCACATTAAGGATGTTTAATAAGAAAAAAATTGTAAGCCTTACCTATTAAAATTAGCAAGGCATGTGCAGGAGGGTGTAATAATATTGACCCAGGAGCCAAAAGAAATTTAACTCCATCACATTGCTATCTTACCTCTTTAAAATTTCTTAAGAACTTCTTTATATCCTGAGAAAAGTGTGTTTCACAGTGAGGTGTGGGGTTTTTGTTTTATTTGTTTGTTTGTTTGTTTCTCTTTTGTTAGTGCTTGGATGGTTGTTTTTTTTTTTAAATAATCTCACTTCACTTTGACAAATACATGAATCAAAGCTTGCACTGTTGTAACAAATATTTGACCCTATATACATGTATATTGCCCCTGAAGAAAGCCTCAAAGTTAAAATCAGTATATTTTAGGCATGATTAGAGTACTTTTCCTTTTGCATAATAAGGGAAATAAAATATTATTCTTACAACACTGAACATGTATTTAGCTTTTCAGAAATTTTATCCTATGGTATTTCTTAAATACAGGCAGATCAGAATAGGTCATGATTCAAATCCACCCACCCTTCCTTGTGACCAAGATTTCATCACACAGTTTTGGTATTCCATTAATTTAAAATGCTGAACATCTTGTGATCCCTTACTTATCTTATTTTGTTTTTATTACCTTTTATTGTTCTAAAATATTTATCCTAATTGTTGGGACTGTTTTTTTCATTAAACCAGTTTGCCTCATCTGACACAAATCTCAGCACTCTGTAATTCTTCCAGCCAACTCTAGAACTACATAACAAATATAGTTACAGCAGTTATTATTTAGCAGTTCTTCAGCATAATAACCATTTTTAATGAGAAATACCATGTTATTGAGTTTTAGAATCTACTAAACTTTCTCTTTTAATTTTTTAAGTTAATATCACTGTGAATATTTAGTGTGATCATTTCCATAAAAGCCATTGCATTCAGCTCACTTCACTATTTTTGATTGCTTCTGTAATTAAGTTTGCTACACAGCATTTTATGTATAACCATAATGCTGCTGGGGATATGATTGGATTGCATATAGATATAGCCAGACTAATTTACATACATGTACAGCTTGACGGCTGCAGTGTAGATGCTGCAGCATAGTATTAACACAAACTAATTCACAAATAAGAATTCATGTTCCCTTCTGGGCTTGGATAGGCCATGATGAAAATCCATGTTACACTTTCACTCTTCTTACTATCAAATGAGATAAACATGAGTGAGTTTTGCTTATTGGTACTGAAAATCACACATTTTATCTGAGGTGTTGACTTATCTTTTTCTCTTGTGTGCTCTAGATCTAGTTATTTGAAGAAACAGTCACTAACACAGCAAGAAATATGTAGTATGACATAGCATTTGAATAACAGATACACAAGAAGCTGGAAACACTGTTAGTGATGATTTCATTTAAATTTCTCAATCATAATGACATTTACATTGTCTTTCATAAATATCCTCAGTAAAATTTGTTAACTTCAGTAAAAAAGATAATAAATATAAAATATGTATCTTTAGATTTAAGTCACTAAATTGGAATTGGAAGAAAGAAGTCAACAATAGGAAGAAACTTATTTTTCCAGAAAGTTTTGGCTTGATCACTGTGAATGTATTTGTTAAATGCATTTAAAATCATTATAGTGTACTTTTATGGTTCTTTCCAATCAAAAAAGTTATTTGGTTAAGCATGCAAGGATCTGTGTATACATAGTTATGACAAAAAACTTTCATCATCCTAAGTATTTGTAGCATGTAATGTAGTACTACACTAACTTTTTTTATTCTATATAGACTTAGTAAAGATGATTGCCCTGTGCTAGGGGTTCTTCCTTTTATTTTGCAATTCTTATTCCCTTCCATTTGTTATAGAGGGACTTATAGAATCAATATGCAGTTTATTCTTTTTCTAAACTCTTCAGTTCTGGACTGTATTTTTGCCAGCCCAGTCTCTCTCTCTCCCTATTTTTTTTTCTTTTTTTTTTTTTTCCCTTCCATTTTCACGATATTTTCTGTCCTTTTCCTTTCAGTCATACTTACCTTCACAACAGCAATAACCCTATTGATCTCTCAATAATTTCTCAGGATAGCTTTTTCTTCCTTCAGCATTTATTTTTCACAGACCTCCAACATCAAGAACCATTTTAAGTTCTACAGTCCAGAACATACTTCCTTACTAAACTCAGCTATCTGACATCCATCTAATCTACTAACAGCTGCATATGGCAAAAAAAAAAACACTGAAAAGATTAAGTGCTGAAGTCTAAAGAACCTTCCTGCATAACTGACAATTGACAATTTTGTAAATTTGTGATGTTCTGCAACACTACAGAAAAAATAATTTGGGTTGCATATCTAGACAAAAAAAAAAAAAAAAAAAAGTTGTTAATATATATCAAATTAATTGTAATTGCTTAAATATCATTTCCATAATGTGTTGTAGAATTTCTTAAGAAATATACTACAGTCTGTGAAAACTTTGACCCAGGAGCCATTTATGTAGCCACTGCTCCACTGTATCAGTTTTGAATCTAATTTTTGCCTCTTTCTCTTTTTCGTTCTTTTCCTTCTGTTCTATATACCACTTAGTTCTAATTTGCTGACCTACACTAATCTACCTTTCTTTTATGTAGGTATTTCAAGAAATACACTACATATTCTGTATTTTATGTGTTCTGTTTTGTACTTCATGGGAAGGTTTACTTGAGCACCACTTATATACAATTTGTAAATTGTATTACATTTAGGGGATGAATTTCACCTTTTTACTCCCAAGTCATTTTTCTACAGTCATGGCATCTGCTTCCTCATCTGGAGGAGTGGGGCATAGGGATTCCAAGGAGGAATACCTTGTTGTATTTTTTATCTACTTATATGTACATCCAGACTATTTAATTAACATACTTATGATTGACTGGACAAATACAGAATTTTTGCTCCTTAAATGGACTGATCGGAACTTGGCTTCTTCTTCTCTGCTACTTTGAGGAATTAAAAAACTGCTTTCACTCATACCTATTCAAATGCTAAAAAATTACATTCTAGTGTAATTTTTATAGTCACTAATGCAAATGTATACAAAGCATAGCAGCATAGCAAAAAGTAACTAATGTCTGTTTTTTTGCCTCCACATTGGGAGGCCTTTTTTTTTTTTTTTTTTTTTTTTACTGTATAAATCCTTTATCTTTGATGTTATCTTCCCAGTAAAACTCTTCTTTGCTGGAGTACATAATGTTATTTGCACTCATTTTCATTATCATTTATGGACATTTCATAGACTTAAAATTTCACAGACAATGCCAAGGCATTAGGCTTTGCATTCTATTTTTAGCATTCTATTCTCTTTTATTCATGCTTCTCCACTGATTCTAAGGAGACTGGACTAAGCAATAAGGTTAAATATGAACATCATGCTTTTTACCTTATCTATTTCAACATAGTTCCTTTCTTACAAACAAACAAACAAACAAACAAACAACAAAAACAACAACAACAAAGTATATATATATATATATATATAAAACTAAATATGACCAGTATAATGACAATATTTTTCCTTCATAGATTATTGGGAAAGTAAATTCTGAATTGAAAAGATTTTTCCATTTCCATGTATCTTTAAAAGAACCATTCTTTGACTTCACATCATACATAGTATTGTAGGAATTCCGTTTTTATGATTAAAAAATATACAGTAAGGTTCCATTATGCTTCTACTAGTCTCAGCGGTAACTATTAGCTTATTTAAAGTATTTTGCATGTATATTGGTCACAAACCTTGATTGTTATTTTCTTGTCTCTCTTTCTTGTCTCTCAGACATGTCATCATCCAGGGCTGATTTTGGAAGCCATTGCATTAATTCATTATAAGTAAATAACTTGAGAATTTCTCTCTCATTTTTTCACCATAGCCCAATGTATTTTATGTTTACTCATCTCATCAGAGAAACTGTCTGTACTGTAAACAAGTAAAGCACTTAGGTGATCGTGATTAGTTCTAGTGAATGCATGCTGGTGAATATTATCGATCACATCACATTATCTGAACAAAACCCAAAGAATTATTTTACTATGGAGCTATATTTCTCACCCAAATTCTAATGGCTTTCCACATTTTTACTATTCAATCCAGCAGTTGTGAATAGGTTTAAGCCTGTTATTTATTATGAAAAAAAAATAATCTTAAAACAGTTCTTCAGGAAAGAGGTTCAGATGTTTGGTATCTTAAAAAATAATAACAATAATGTTGATAACAAAGAAAAAAACAGCAATCACATAAAAAGTAATTCTTTGGTATTTGTAGGAATATATTTTGCATCATTTTGATATATGGATTGATTTGCATACTTACATGCTTAAAGTAGTTTATATCTAAAGGTACAAAAAGGTTTGGTAAATTATACTTTGTAAATACAAAGAAGATATATTTTATGGAAGTGACATTCTCAGCTGTGGCAAAACTATATAGTAACTTCTAAGACAACTTTATGTTACATTTCATGCTGGTACCTGTGGGCTTAAAAGAGTGAAGAGTAGCCTATAGTGTGGAAAAGGGATTGAAAAGTGGATGAAGATTAAACAAATAAATAAAAGCAGAAAACAATCATTTCTGATACATTACTGGCAACTAATAGATATTATTCAGTGAATATTCTCAGAAGCTTGTACTAAGTGAATTTAAAAAGAAAAAAAAATGAACAATAAATTACTTAAAAGTTCCAAATCAACCCAAACTTACTTGGATTTTACATAATGATAAGTTTTTACCTACCAACTCCAGACATCTCCGGAATGCTGGCGGTGTACATGTCCTTGGTGAATTTTGGTTCATTGTCATTAATATCATGGATTTTAATGATAAATTCAGACTCTGGCTCCACTTGTCTTCCAGTCTTTCTGTCTATAGCCTTGGCACGTAGCACATACAGGGACTTTTCTTCTCTGTCCAATTTCTTTGCAGCATGAATATCTCCTGTATTTTCATCTATAATGAACAGACTGCCAGCCCCATCTCCTGTTAATATGTATTTTAAATTTCCATCTCCTTTATCTTGGTCAGTGTGTAGCTTCAGGGAGGTAGAAAAGAAGAATTCTATAAATATATGTATTGTTATTACAGACCAAATCATTCAGCATATATGAATAAGTCTGTACAATCTTGACTGTAATTGGGGTCAGCAGTGGTTATCTTCTGTTTCACTGTTGAAAAAATTACAAATTTGAGACTCAATCATACACAAAAAATAGCTCTAAACAAATTTGTAAAGACATGAGGGGATATAGAAGATATAGAGTAGAAGATATGATATATATCTTCTACTATTTGAATTAGTAATCAAAAATAACTGTAAACCAAAAAATATTTCTTTCAATAACCTATCCAGAAACTGATAGAAGTCTCATGCTTGAAGATGACAAGGGGTGTAAAAAAATCCCAAGTTTCTATTTGCAAAACATAGCCTGTTTTCCCTTTTATTGACTGTTGATAATGCACCCAGATGACCTGTAACAAGGGACAAGGATTTGGATCTTAAGGATTACAGCTTTTGAACTTATATAAGTTATAAAATCACTTATAAATCATGTATAAATGTTCTGATTTAAACATCTTGCATTTTAACTTCCCCCCTCCTTTTTTTTTCTTTTTTTTTTTTTTAATATCTCACCTCAGTTAATTACTTTCCTTCCTTATAGTCCTCTCCACATGGGAGGAATAATTCTCAAGAACACTAGGAGGTAAATTTTCAAAGCATTGAGTGGGGTTTAACAGCCTTTTTCCTAATACACTTCTCCATAAGAGTTCAAAACTATTTCTGTGAACTTACAGGCACTGATTCATTGCCATATAATGCCATTATGAAAAAGTGCTTAAAAACAGCCAAAGCAAGGCATTGAAGCTGACCCAGACAGTAGAAGTTCTTATAGAATGCTCTTTTCTTGAACTCTACTTCTATACTTTCATTTAGGGGCACGTTTCCATTTTATCTGTGGTGTGTTTTCCTCAGATATATGTTTACTGTCACATTTGGCCACAGCTCAGTGACCTGTGTGTTTTTCAAATATTGATAGAAAGAATTTCAACTCAGTACTTCTTTTTTTTTCTCTGAATAGAACAATATGGTATATCTACCACCTGAAAAAATATTGCTGAGTGTCAATGAAGGTTTTACTCTAGTTTGTCACAAAAGCCAGAATAGTTACTTTATGCCACTTTTTTCCTTGTTTCTCTATTTCTGTAAGTGCTTATCCCCATGTTTCATAACTGAGCCACTGCATCTTTCTATTACTCCACCTGTATGAAGGGTGATTGTGGTGGATTTTGTTAAATTCCTTCACTTTGATTTTTTTCCTCTGATTTTACACTGAAGCCTTAAAACTATTCACTATATGTGAACTGATTATTCTTATGTTAGAAATAAGACTATCAAATGACTATCTGAACAATTTTAGCACTTACTGTATTCAGTGTACATCTATATTAAAATTCTATGAAGATTCTTAAGGATTAAATAAAGTGGGTTGAAAGAATCAAATAAAATGTGCACACAGCACTCAAACAAACAAACAAACAAAAAAACAAGACCTCACTGGCAACTTGCCAACTCTACAGATAATACAGAGAAAGCAAATTTAACAACTGTACCTTGACAGAATGTGGAGCATTAAGTAATTAATTTGCAGAGTTCAACAAAAGCATTTGATTATGATACATACTTGCATTTTCAAGAACAAAAAAAAAAAAAAAAAAAAAAAAAAAGATTTATTTGCATATCAAGTATATGCAATACAAGTATATATAGTATATTTCTTTGGGTCAGATGACTTTGTCTTGTGCCACACAGCACACTTTTCTGTTCAATACGAAAGAGTGCACTTTCATTCTTGTTGAGATATTCCTCACCATGTAGCATAAATATAGCTTTCACATTGAGATAGAATCTTCTTGAGGTAGAATCTTCTTAAAATATTCCAACTAAGTATCAGATCTTAGGACTGAAAAGCAACACTTGAATGTAGTTTTTCATGAAGATAAGTCACCTTCCTTCTGAGTCTTAAAAACATTCAAGTGCTTGCTACAAAGTCTTGTGTTGTTACGTGGCTCCTTAACACACTCAGCCAACTAGGGGAGCAGCCAGAAGAGCTTGGGTTGGAGTCTCAGAGAGAAATCCTATGGATCAGGAGAAGGAATATCTCCTAGCAGTAGCATCGGATGGAGAAGGCAGCATGAGGGAGTGAGAGGAAGGATGGGAGTTGCATTAACGATGTTGAGGCCTCAGTGAAGCTAACATCCTTTCTTAATGCTACTTAAACGTTGTTAATTTCTCGTGTTAACAACAGTCAGACATGTAAGTTCTTTAAAGTTGAGTACACATTCCATTTTCATGCATTTACAAAGCTATTTTCCTTGTATTTTTGAAATAATTTCTGTCATTCTCTCCAGGGTTGTTTATTTTATTTTATTTTATTTTATTTCCCCTATACATGTATATATTCCAACATACAGCTATTAATTTAAATTTCTACGACAAGTTTGTTGTTATGTGGATTAAACTAGACTCTGGTCCACAAGTATTATCTCCATAGTAGCCTTTGAGGCAGACTGTAAGGGCAGAGACTTAACTGTCAGGAGTCCTGGTCTTTAATTGCAAGTAGTGCTGTGCAGAGGAGGAATGTAATTTTTTCAGGAACTAGAAGTTTCCCACTTTTGAAGATGAGCAACCATTACTGAAACAAATATGGTTTAGAACTACAAAATGAAAGAAAAAAGGAGACAGGGAGTGGAAGGAGAATTTTGTATTGCTTGTTTTGATTTAGAACAGAAAACAAAATTATCCATTTAAAAAGGAATGTTTTGTTTGTGTGGGATTATATCCGAAATAATAAGTACATAATATACATTTTATTTTTATTAGAAATTATATCTGGAGTATTATTTTAATATAATTTTATTTAAAATTGTAGTAATAACATAGTTCATATTTGAAGACCTGTTAAATGCTTCCCCCAGGCAGCTCTGGTACCTAAAGAATTTTTCAGGGAGTATAAAGTGTCCTTAAAGGCATCATTTTCCTTAGCAAGTTTCCAGATTTTGCTATTTGCATGTTTGTTTTTTTTTTTCCTATTCCTACAGGCTCTTTCTAGACTTGGAGAGCTGGTCATCTGCTGAAAACAGATCATATATACTGAAAGACATGTGCAGATGGGTAGCAGAGATCCAGACTGTGAATGTAAATGGTATTAGCTTGCAATCTCATTTTGATTGGTCAAATGAACAACTCTGCTGGTGATCTAAGATCAATGACCTCTTGCAATGGGGCAATGATGTGAGGTCAAAGTAGTGAGGTCACTGATCTTTTCTACACTAACAAGTGGTTCTGGAAAAATATCACATCTGCCCACGGCCATTCCCTTATCCTGCCTCTCAACTATGCATAGGTCCTCAGAGAATAGGTTAATTTCTTTTATCTGTCTTTTCAGACTACCTACAAAGACGGCAGGTTGCTCAAACTGTGACAGCTATTTTAACCTTCCTCTTTATGTTTCTACCAAATGATAAACAGGATTTTTAGACATGGTAAATTTGGGAATAGAATATTCCTCACAACAAAGCATTCCATATCCTACTGCCCACTTAGTAAGATCACTTCAAGTACAGTTGCAAACTATGACTTCTTCCACATGTAAAGATGTCTAATTCCTATGAATGTTATGGTTTGTATTTAGCATTTAAGGAACCTTCATTGGTCTATGATTTAAGTTTGCAACATTACAGTTTGTGGGAAAAAAAATGGATTATTTCCGTATTGGGAAAAAAAAAGTGACACATTATCCAGAATCTTATAGAAATAAAATAGTAGTTGTGTAAAACATAATAATCACACTACTCTCTCACTATAATAAATTTACGAAACTGCAAAATACTACTTTTTAATTTATGAAACAAAGTAGCTTCACATAAGACTGTAGAAGTTCATGCAAAATAAGAGAAGCAATACAGTAATAAAAAGATGCTGCAACTTAATTGTGACTAGTTTATATTGTGTTTCTTTGCGGCTGTGAATTTTTTAAATTATATTTATTTGTAATATTAGTTCTCAGCTTTTAAAAGTTTATTTTCCTATAGAAAGCCTACAGAAAATCACCTACAGAAAATCAAAATAAAAAATATGTTATAATGTTTACAAAATACTGAGCCTTTTATTCATTAAAATGCAGGAACAAACCAGGATACTTTTCTAAATCCTTTTGCCAGATTTAGTAAAAAGCATTAAATGCAAAATACTTCTTCTTTGTGTTATTATTATTATTATTAAACCATTTATGTGTGTAAAGGAAGATCATTTGTCCAAACCAAATAAACAGTCTGCATGCTTTTAATTTGAAGTAATTTTTTACTGCTATGGTTTCCCTATGTTTTTCAGAGCCAGCAGGTCTGGGGAGGTCCATCAGTTACTAGGAGCAGAAAGGCATACCTGTTGAAATATTTAATGTTGTTGTTGTTGTTTTACTCTGCAAGTTTCTATTTCTCTATTTGGGGTGAGGTTCTGAAGCAAGTTCTATGTAGGCAGAAAATAAAGCTGTCAAATGTGTCCTTTCCCATATCTTAAACTGTCTACATTCTACAAAATTCTACATTCAAAATTCAACATCCTTCATCAAACTGATGAAGGCTGAATATTGGATGAATACTACAATCTCTGCAAGAAGCTAGCAGGTCAGAGGAGAACCATGAAATACTTTGATAAAGGAAAAAAATAATAATAACAATAACAATAACAATAAAATCCAGCAAAAACAACAACAAAACAGATATTAGATTACTCGGTATATAGTGACCACACTGATAACAATAACATATCCTTTCCATTTAATATACAGCATGGAATCGCCTGAAATAATTTGGAATGAAGATGTAAATTAGAAGATGCACTGCTGAATATCTTTATTTCTTGTTATTCTTCTGCACATATTTGTTTTTCTGTAGCGTGGCTGGCTAAATACATTATCAACACAACTTCTCCTGAGAATCATTAGAGAAAAAAACATAGGTAATAGTTATGACAAT